CTCACACGCCAGTGAGTGCTTCGCTTCAGACACGTTCCTGAGGCCCGCGGGCCCTCTGCCTGGCAACGACCCCAACCAAATCCTGGCCGCCGCCCAGCAAAATCCCAACCAAATCCCGGCCGCCGCCCAGCCGCCGCCCAGCCGCGGACCAGCCGCCGCCCCCCCAAAAAAGCTGCCACCTCCCAAGACAAGCCGCCACCAGCAATATCCCGGCCGAATCCCCGCCGCGGCCCCGCCGCGGCCCCGCCGCCGCCCAGCCAATTCCCAGCCACGGGCCCTTTCCCCGATGGCCTGGATGCGGCCTCGTAGGACCTCGCAGGAAGTAGGGGCGCGATGGAAAACTGGGGGAGCGCGATGGAGGAGCACGGCTGCAGACGGGGGAGGGAAGACCGCCCAGAAGGAGGGGCGGGAGGAACGGCAAGGAGGGCGCGAAGGAAAGGTGGGAAGACGACGAAGGAAGGAAGGAGGAGAGAGGCGTAAGAAGGACGGATGAAGGAGGCGAGAGTGAAGACAACGGAAGAGGAAAACAGGAAAGGAGGAGGGACCACCGATGACGATTGAGAAAGGAAAGGGTAAGGAGGACAAGGGCAGGGGGGAGGGGATAGGGATTGGGCCTGCGCAGACCTGGGAGGGCATACCAGTGACGTGAAGAAGAGGAAACTGTTGGCGACAACGAGTACGATAGTGATGATGGAAGAAACTGGTAAGATGCTTGAGTGGACGTTTGTGGTTTGATGTGGACCTCCGCAGCAATGGGACACAACGTTATTTGACCGCCGCACTTCATCATGGGAAAATGCAACGTCGGCGCTGGGGCTGGCGCGCGCGAAACGCACTGGAGAAATTTCAAAAAATGCGAATGACGAGGCGCGCGCGAACGGTCCGAAGCGGACGCAATCGCAACGAGCCGGTGCCGTTCGCTACGACGACATCGCTGGCTGCGCCAGCCTGACACAAGCACGCGCGAGAGACTGCCGCGCCATAGCCACGCGAACCGCGCACTCCAAACAGCCGGCCGCAAGGAAAAAGAAGCCACGCGCAAAGATGCACGAGAGCCCAGGTGGGGTCAGCTGGATTTCGGCTTCGTTTCTGTTCGACTTGCACTTTGGGGGGGATTTTTCGCCTGGGCCTCCTCAGTGTGTTAGCCCCAACGTGTGTTTGTCCATCGAGGCCCTTCGATACGACGCAGGCGATCTAATGATCTTCTGGTTGGGCTGAAGGAGGGCAGTAAACACACATTGGGCTAACACACGTCCTGAGGATAGCCGATAGATCGGCGACAGGCCCCGATAACGGGCCCGTAAACTCCTGGACGGGGTGGGGTCATGATCAGGCCCCTTTGGGCCATGGATTGGGAGCCACTGCGTTTCCCCTGGGCCTATCCCCCCGAACGTTGCCTCTGTCCCTAATTGGCCCCCCCCGCTCTTCAACGCCTGCTGATTTTCGGGTCACACCTCGGGCCTCCGGCGGCCGTTCGGGACTCCTGGAACGCTCTCGGCGAGGCACAGCTACTGGAGAGCACCCCGTGGCTGAAAAACCGCCAATGACGGACGAAAACCGCCACCCTCGAACCTGTGGTCGTCCTCCCTGATGACATGCGCGCGGCACTCGACATCGGGCGCCGCGCGAAGGTCATCACCGCTCGGGGGTCGGAGTCGGCCTTAGAGGAGCAACCCAGGAGGTTTCCTCAGCCCATCGGTTGTGGTTGTCTCTTCTTCGCTTCTGACCATCGGCGGTGAATGGGCGACTGCAGTTCCCCCTAAGCCCATCCCTCATCACATCACAACTAGCACAGAGACCAAATCCAAACGTCAAGCCCGAAAACTAAACATTAGATCGAACGGTCTCGATCGGTCGCGCCAAATATCTGCCCACGACCCGCCCCGACCCGCCGGGTAACCCCTCAGAGTGGACACGATGCCCAACAGCGGTTTGAACAAGACTGGCTGACCGCGCCGCCGCGAACGCTGCCCACTTAAGACAGACGGCCGCCTGCCAAACACCGGCCGCTGCCGGTGTTGGACAACATCTGCCGTTGGGCATCACACCCATGTCTCGCCATCGCTCGGCCATCCGTTCCCCGTGCCGTTTTCGCGCGATGCTCCAGGATTAGGGGAACGAAGAATGACGTAAACAAAAGAACTCGGAGGTCCGCGCGGATTTCTCGGATCGGCGCTAGACCCCCCACCCTGGTCCAGGGAGCGCGCCAAGGGCGGCGCCGGAGGCGCCGCAAGGGGGGTCCAGCGCAGATCCGAGAAATCCGCGCGGACCTCCGAGTTTTTATACTTATGCCCTTGCTCGTTCCCCTATCGGTGGGCCTCGCCCAGGAAAGGATGCACACGTGCGAGCGATATCGAGACCCACGTCTTCCGCACCCCTCCCGGGCGCCCAAACCCGCGGGCGGCCCGAGGCCGCCCGCCCGCGGGGCCCAGGCCGCGCAGGCCTCGTGCGGCCCCTCTGGATGCGGGCGACCTGCGCCACGCTCGTGAGGAGCACCAGCCTCAGCCGGGCGCGGCGCGTTGGGCGCGGCGCTCCCAACCGAGGCGGGTGGGACGGGTGGGATCCGAGGACTGAGCAGGGACCGACCGTCCCGGCATTCCCATAGGTCATCCACGACATGTTATACGAACCCCAAAATGTTCTGCTTACAAAACGGCTGCTCTTAGAACATTAACACGATGTGTTCATACACGAGAGTCTCAGCCAGAAATGATTTAAAAACATTTCGCGCAGAGCATAACAGGTTTTTAAAACATTATTTGGTTGGCCTGTGGGCCAATGGGCGAGCCTGGACGCTTCGCCACTGCTTGAGAGGAGAACCATGGACCACCGAACCCGAGAACCCATCGGGAGGGGACCGACCGCAGGGCGGTGGCACGCCCGCGCGTCAGCCAGTACAGGACGACGCTCAGGCGTGCCACCGCCCAGGGCCGGTTGTTTGCCGATGGGCTCTCGGTGGCGGTGGTCCGCGGTTCTCCTCTGATGGGAGGGAGTGACACGGCGCGCCCTGCGATCTGGGCGTTGCACGTGTTTTGCGCTGGGCGGTCTCGCCAAATCTCGGGCCAGGAGGCCATCACAGATCGACACGGCTCCAAAAATGCCACCGACAGATGGGGTTTATGGCTCCGGTCGCAACTGTCTGCCGTCGCGACCCCCTTTACCCACTCCCCCTTCCCCGTCCCAGCCGGCGCCGCCTGCCCTCGTCCGCTTCCACCTCCACCCCTACCGCTATAGCAACCCCGCGTTCCCCTCCCTCCTCCTCCTGCCATTCCGCCCGCCCCCTGCGTATCGTCTCGTTCTGTCCTTTTTCGTCCTGCCCCCGTCCGACTGAATTCGTCGTCGCCGTCGGCGGCGAAGGCGTCGGCGATGGTATCAGCATTGTCGCTGTCGTGGTTCGCGCTGCTGTGCCCAAATCCATATCTCCGTTGTGGAATGACCACAACAACCTCACCCTGCCCGTTTCACGCCTCGCTCTCCTCGTCATCGTCCGGCTGATGTTCGCCCCTAACCCTTCACAGTTACACAATATGAAAATACTCTCCCACTTCCCCTGATGGCGTCCCGAAGATATCCGACACCCCCCCGCGTATTGTTTTTTTACACAGGATTCCCGGGAAACGGGTTTTCGTTTTTTTGTTATAATGCTGCTCTCGCCGAGGCGCCGGCCTCATTTTCGGGACCCGCTCGTTCCGAATCGTGCTCCCGCTGCAACGCTGGCCTCATTTCCGTGCTTCCGTTCGTTCCGAATCGTGCTCCCGCTGCAGCGCTGGCTTCATTTCCGCGCTTCCGCCCGTTTCGACTCGTGCTCCCGCTGCAGCGCTGGCGTCATTTCCCGTGCCATGCCACAGCACACGCGCACACACGCACACACACAACCACACAACCACACGACCACACCACCACACCACCACCACCAGCACCAGCACCAGCACCAGCACCAGCACCAGCACCAGCACCAGCACCAGCACCAGCACCAGCACCAGCACCAGCACCAGCACCACCAGCAGCAGCAGCACCACCACCACCACCACCAGCACCAGCACCAGCACCAGCACCAGCACCAGCACCAGCACCAGCACCAGCACCAGCACCAACACCAGCACCACAACCACGCACACACGCACGCACGCACGCATGCGCACCACCACCCACTAGTCCGCGGATAGAAAAATCAGCGCCATGGTAAGGGATGGGGGGGAAGGGTAGGACGTCAGATATGACGCGCGCGCGCCTAGCTTGCCTGCTCCCCCTCCCCTCCTCCTCCTCCTCCTCCTCGTCCTCGTCCTCGCCCTCCTCCTCCCCCTTTTTCTTCTCGATTCCGTTCCCGCGATCCGTTTCCGCCGTGCCCCTGCTGAACCTCGTTCGCCTTTGCCCTCATCATTATCCGATCCCTCCCCCCTTACCTGGCATACGCCTAATGCTACTCCCCCTCAACCTGTCCATTTGCCTCTTCGTCTCTCATCCATATCCAGCTCCAACGTCGTCCACGTCGTCCTGTGTTTCATGTTGTTCCCGTTATTTCCTTTTTCATTGTCCTTCTCATCCTCCGCACGCTGTACGTTCCCACCCACGCACATATAATTACCCTGCACAACATCTCCCTCGTGTTGATGCTCCTCCTTTTGTCTGGTCATTTATCGGTTGTTCCCCCCATCCTCCTCGGTAATCAACCGTCCGCCTTCCTCCAACCTCGTTTTTTTGCTCCTCTTAGTTCCTCCTCGTCCACCTGCACCTCCACCTCACCCTCCTCCTCATCATCCCCCTCCTCCCCCGCATCCTTTTCCTCCTTCTCCTCCTCGCCCTCCTGAAGTGCACTGGACATCCCCATCGAACCCTCGAAGTTCCGACCGCCAAGCCTGGGACTCGGCGCCCGCGTGCAGCAGGCCACCTGCGAAACTTACTACTGGGCATCGTCGTACGCGCCGCCCCCTCGAGCGGGCAAGGCGCGATCGGTGACCCGCGTGCCCGCAGGAACCGCCGACCACCCTACGCCAGAGCAGGTCGCCCGACGCACGGTTGCCCTCTCCCAACCCATAGCGAATGTAGGCTCCAAGGGCCGCTGGGAAACACGTGATGAAACGTGCTAAGCAACCGTCCTCACAGACAGTTCACGCTCCACGGATTCCAGCGACCCCTCGGAGGTCACAAAATCTTTGCCCCCCCCCCCCCCCCCCCAGGACTCGCGAGCAACAACGGCCCGAGACGGCCAAGGTTACTTCGAGCGCATCCTTTTTGCAAGACCACCGCGCGGGGCCCGATTCTTTTCCTCGTTAGCTCCCCATCCTCTGAAGATAATCCCCTATACATGTTGGAGGTCCACTACCTTTTACTTGCCGACTGCGTATTCTACAAAGGTGTCCGCTGGAGGAACGGATCGTAGCCGTCCGCCGCTATCCCGCCCAACGCCTCACCTGCCGTTGGTTCAAATCCCCAGTTTCCTTCCCGTCGTTTTCCGACGAAAGCTATGTCTCTGACCCAATGGGTTTGACGAACATATCCGCTGTCGAACGCGGGACTGAATGACCCGGCTCGAATCCACTCTGCCGCTTCTAACTCCGACCCGCACTGGAGCAGATTGAGGAGCCCGCGACGAACCCTATTGAATTTCTTGAGCGTGATCGGAGAAGAGGCCTTGCTTCAGCCAAGGATCGGAATCGTTCAGCCTTTCGGAGCATGCCTGCATCTTGGGCGGGCCGCTGCCGGCCTGAAGATATTTCTGAGATGCTCCCATCCCAGACTCCAGGTGTTTGTGGGCCGTTGGAAGGAAAACTTGCGCCGTGGCCCAATACTCTGAACTGTGAGTCCGACTACCGAGCTGAATCAGAAGCCCGTCCTTGGCTCGCGCGGGGGCCATCCTCCTCCTTGCGCTGCTTTTGACTTGGCTAGATCGAACTGGCGGCGTCGATCAACGAGCTCACTGTCGAACTCGAAGTCGATCACGCGATCGTCTAAATACGGGCGGTGCCCCAACGCTCGCCGGCGGAACAAAACTGCATCGCCTGAGCCAGAACTGCTTAACCGGCACTCCAAAGCTGCCATCATGATAGCATTCCCACCCCTCCCCCGATATCAGCCCGGCATCGTTTCTTGAACAGCGCCGTGGTCATGTGTGTCTGTGCTTGTGCGTGGCAGGTATACGCGCTCCCGCGCATGGCGCGCCGATTCGATGCGCGCGGCGCGTTTGAACCATCGCAAGGGCCCCGCGCCCCCCGCCGCGCCCGCGCACGAAATTTGGAGCGAGCTGAGCTTCCGTCTGGAATGTGGCTGTGTAGTCAATTCAATCCCATTGTCAAGCAAAGGCCAGCACCTGTACCCCCATTTCCCTGTTGCCCCCTGGCCCCCCTCTTCCTCCTCCTCTGACGCTCATGCTGCGCAGTCCATTCGTGCGCAGCGATCCCCTCCGCATCCACAATGCAAAAATGCCCCCTCCCGTGCATGGCGACCTCTGTCGGGAACATGTTAAATATCTCCGGGGGAACCAAACCGTCGCCGAAAGCGTTTCACGTCTGGATACCTTCGCACAATTGCCGAGCCCACGGAATCATCGCACCTTATGGCCCGCCCTGGAAGCCCGGCGGAGAACCCCCGGAACACCCAGGGCCAAAGTAACCCCCCCCCAAAGACAACTGACGCGATCTGGGCTGAGGTCTCAGGGTGGCCAAGCAAATGCCGCAACCACTTCGGCCGCCGCGCTCGGGGCCCTTTCGGCAGGAATCTTGGACTTGGCGAGCACATCGAAATCGGAGATGCCGCTGGGCTGCCCTGCGAATTCGCCCACGCTGCGCTGCGCAGCACAACTCGAGCACGTCTAGCCACGAAAATCGCGAAGCATTGCGCGTCGCTCTCACGACGTGGCCATGGCCGCGAACAGGAACCCCAGCGTGGCTCGGCGACTACAATGGGTAGGGTTTGCGAAGGGCGCGGTTTGCCTCCAGTCACATCTGCCCCTCCCGCCCCCGGGAGACGGATGACACTGCCACTCAATGCGACCGAATCACATGACACTGTCGCTCCTCTAATACATGGGCTAATACAGTGGAGCACACATCGAGGATGACAGCGCCGCTCAATACGACGACAGTTATGACGCTGTCTCTAACAGAAGCCCCGGAAAGCCGTCACAAAGCAACTCGCAATCCGCACCCAGGCGTAACCGCACTCCTCGCAATCGCCGAGCGGCTTCTCTCCATGTCAGGGGGGTCGTGGACGCCCAAATCTGCCATCTCTCACAGGGCGAACCTGCCCGCCGCGGGGTGGAATTGAATCTCCGGGCCCAGTGCCACTGCGAAACGATCAGACGGGCGAACTCCTAGATGCCGCGCAGGAGCCTAGATGCGACCGCGCAAATGATTCTGCCAATGTAAGGGCTGCCCGCGCTGATGCCCCCACCCCTGCCTTCAGCAGATCGGCGGCGCCCTGTGGCCCGATGATTCGTTTCAGCCCCATCCCTCCGATGGCCCCGTCTACTCGACCACTCTGCGCAACGCTGCCAACCGCGAG